CACGGCCGATAGCAAACTACCGACCCGGGGCAGCGCTGGATGAAAGGCCCTCAACCGGGCCAGACGGATTTAAAGCACTTTGTAGAAAAGGCAAAGAAGAATAAACAATCTGGGATTCACATAACATATTCACATAATTTAATATACTGTACTTTTTCTAGATGTTTGTTAATCTGCCTAGTTGCTCATAAATAAACACATTGTCAGAAAATAAATAGTTTTTATATGTTTAGCTGACCAATAGATTCTCAATTATTAAACTGGTACATTACTTTTTTAGGTTTGTGACATCAGATTGGACTATGCACACACAGATTTACCTTCACAAAGCCTCAGAAGGGCAAGATTTATGTAGAAAATGTAAAGCTGTTCATGAAATTATGTTTTGTTTTTATAATATTTTTTGTTGTTGACATTCATATAAATATACTGGTGTTATAACTTAGTGTACGTTTGACTGGTTTTTGGTAAACGTCTATTTTGAATTTATAGCCCCCCCTGGAGAAAACTCCACCAGCTGCCACTGGCCCAGACGCTACAGTTTACTCTTAAAAAATGAACATACAGCTCTCCCATCTTTCTGGCCATGATATACACACCTCATAGGATCAACACCATCACACCATCATAGGATGGGTCCATATAGAAATGATAAACAGACATGTATGTATGTAGAGGGGTTTTTTGTTTTTCCTTTTACAGTTGCACATTTCAAGTTTCCAAGTATTTAATGAAGATAAGTTGTGCCTTCATCAGTACTGGATTAGAGATATACAGTTAAGTTCACAAGTGGACCAATTCAATTCAGTTTGGTTCAGGTAGATATTTAATGATGCAGAAAATAACAATCTGATTGTACAATTTATTTATGAAGCTTTCTAATAATAAATAAGTGCTATAAAATATTTGCGTGCATGCTTGCATTATCTGTGCCCATGCGTTTAAAAAAAAAATCTTTTTGCTTGCGTGTTTTGCGCGCTCAGATTTTATTTGATGCCCTATTGTGCGCCTGTATAGTATTGGGTAAGCTGACGCCCCTGCTCCCCCTCTGCAAACCCACCCAGTGATGAGCAGTATTTTCACAACATAAAGAGGCAACCCCACTTAATGCTAAACAATTAGAAGTGTGTTGAAGAAATGGGACTTCCACAGCTCAGAGAGAGCGTCACAGGTGGCTGTCAATCTAATGGCTGATCTCTGTGCTCGACTTTGCCGTTGAGTATGTGAGTGGTGGTTGCATTGTGTGTGTGTCTCATTGCTCTCTAACCTCCCTTCTTCTCAACACCGTAGTCCTATCAGATCAACAGAGGAATCTTTGTCTTAGAAGCAACAACATCACAGCTGTGAACCAGTGACATGTAAGTAGCTTTTTGTGAGATCTGATTGAAAGCAAATATGCTTTATGTACTAAATATGCATAAACACCGAAATTATAAACATTTTGTTCCTATTAGGATGAGATGGAAGAGGTTGCACTACAAGAAATAAAAAGCAATTTAAGTGTGCTTAAGAATGAAAAGAAAGTTAACAGTTTAATTTTTATTTTTTTAACATCTGGATAATGTGTAGAGTTTTTTTTTTTGTTTTTTTTTACCTTACTGCAATTAAGTTTAATTGTGCTTACTTTGTACCAAGAGTAGAAAGACGGTGTGCACCACATAATTTAGGCAAAGTATTGTTGCTTTCGCTAAGCCAAGTAGTAATTACATGCATACATGATAATAAGCTGCTTTCATTGTGCCTTGGAACAGAAAAGGAGAAGGCTGGTAAATTTAAACACCTTCCAGATTCCCATGTGTGTCTTTTATAGCTTGCAAACTTACTGGACTTATTTTAATTTGGAAGCCGTTTTTCTTTAGTTTTGTTTTTATTTGTTAGCATTTTTTGTTTTTATATATGCAATAATTTCAGGTAAAGTACATTTACAGAAATACTTGACTCATTAAGTCTCAAAAGGAAACTGAAAGAAATGTATTACCTTTTTGACTTTAAATCAACAGTAACTAAATAAAATCAACCATGATCAAAAGGATTTACACTGAATAAAAGTCCTGTTAAAACTCACCGTTTTCCCAGATTCAATTCCTCAGAGTTTACTTTTAGGCTGAATCAAGTGTTTTGTTTTTTTTGTTCTTTTTTTTGAGTGGCAATTGTTTCCCCTGGTTCAGGAAATTATGGTTCGGCTCGGGTCATTTAAGCCACTGATCTGATTTACAGATCAGTTTCTGATCCAAACCCACCTACATCTAGAACTTTACCACCCTTTGCAAGAACAACTGGAACTAAAGTTTCCAAAAGAAAAAGGAGTCACACAGAGGTTATCGTTTATTAGAGAAGGCCTTGACAGGCTGACAGGCTCACATGTCGATAAATGCATTTAGAGGAATGCTTGAGTTACATAACCACCTGCGGACTAACTGATAATGCAACCTAAATAACCATGACCTAAAAACTTTGGTGTTCATGCAATAATAAATAAGAATAAACCTTGAAATGGTGAAAGCATATAATGAAACACAATAAATTTGAAAGAAAACATAAATCTTGATAATGAATCGTTTTGTTTGTTTTTTTCCTCCACCCGGTTTCGAATAAATACTTACAATAACTAAGTATTTGCTTTCCACCAGCAACTTATCCCCCATATCAGAAGTTAGGTTGGCCTCATAATAACAGTTTTGTTTTCTCACCAAATGAATAAGCTTTTATAGCTTCACGATTACTTGCGTTCAAAAACGATATCCCAGAACACATTTATGCTAGCAAACATCTGTATGTAAGCAACTAATCTTTTCCTTTTGCTGTTGGACAAATGTGCGGCTTTACGGTTGCTGGTAGGTCATTTTCTATTGTAAGTAAAACCAATCGTAGCTTATCGTCACATCTTTTTAATTTAGTTTTCTTTAGTAGTTTAGCGTTATTCCAAGCCATTAAAAAATAAATTGTCCCTTTGAGATAAATTCCTTTATATAACTTTACGAAACTTATAGATGAAGGTTGTTACCCTGATATCTTTTTGCTGCTTTAATGGTTCATAAGTAAGCAGCTCTGTAGCTTTCCTTTTGTTCCATTAACACACTCCTCCGCTTTTTGTTACATTACTCACTCTATTTGTTTCCATCTTTCACTAAGTCACAGTTGACTTATTCTCCACCACCTCCTTTGAGAAAGTATTTTATTTGCATTCGATGGATTTAAAGTGGCCATATTCTCCCCCTGAAAATGTCTCTTCCCTCCCAGACACATGGTGATAGATACCACGCAGGTTTTGGGGTTCAAAGCTGAAGCAGGAACTGTGTCATGCGTCGCCTTGCTTGCTTCACTTGTTATTTTGTGGTTTATGATGCCGTCTACAGCTTTTAAAATGGTTGCTGAGCCGACTTCTAGCTGCTTCTGTTGATTATGTTGTTTCACTTTGCGAAATTGTTGAAAACTTTCAAACAAATATAAAGGTCATACTATAATGGTGGAGATACAGATAAATGGGCTTGTGGGAAGGTTATTCGTTAATTTTTATTTTTTGCTCTGTTAATGTCGCAGCTGTTACTATGAATATAAAATTCACACGTATTAGTGTAAACTTTCATACATTGTATACATTGCCCAATTCAATATAAAAGAACAGCAAAAAGTCAAGAACTACAGAGAAGTTATGGTTTATGGTCACAGTCAAGTCATATGTCTTGGAAGAGCAAATCCAAGTCAAATATGTCTTTGAGAGGCAAGTACAAGTCAATTTTGTGAGCGACAGGTCCAAGTCAAGTCCTGAGTCTTTGAGAGGCAGGTCGAAGTCAAGTCTCAATTCTTTGAAGTGGAAGTCTATATTGTGTCTCATGGTAAGTTTTAAGGGGAAGTCAAAGAACAGTCTCTGAAGGGTGGGGTTTGAGTCAAGATTCAATTCTTTCTGAGATAAGTCCAAGTCAAGCTTCAAATTTTTGAGTAGCAAGGTCATCCAGGTCATACGAATATTCGTTTGAGGACCAGAATGTTCACATTTTGGACAAAGAAGACAGGTGGTTTGAAAGGGGTGTAAAGGAAGCCATTTATGTTAAGAGAGAAAAACCAACCTTAAACAGAGGGGGTGGACTAACGACTCGCTTTTCAGAGGCATAGGCCAGTATCGGGTTCTGCTGGCTGACAAAGACCTCAACGACTTCCCATTACTAAGAGGTGGATCGTTTTTTTCCGTTCAATTTGCATGTTTTATACGCCATAAAAAGGCTTTTGTTTGTGCCAATCTAAAAGCCTGGAACTCAGTGCTACTCCAGACATTTTGAATTGAAAAAGCTTCCTGGATGAGAAACGAAACGTCTTCAAACTCGGAAAACAAAGTCCAGTGGTTTGTTTTTAAACTTTTCTAACTTTGTTGGAATATTTAAGGAGCTAGTGAAAGTCAAGTCTCAAGTCTTTCAGGTACAACTCTAAGTCAGATCTTAACTTTTTCAGAGGTTAGTCCAATTAAAGTTGGAAGTCCAACTCAAGACTTTGATGGATAGATCTGTCAGTTCTCAAGACTTTGTGAGGCAAGGCCAAGTCAAACTCCAAGTCTTTAAGCAGCAGGTCAAAGTAAAGTCTCAAGTCTCTCAAGTACCAGTCAAATTTCTGAGGGGCAGGTTCCAGTCAAGTCTCACATATCTGTGAGGCAAGTCAATGTCAAGCTTCAAGTCTTTCAGCAGCAGGTTTAAGTCAAATCCTAAGTGTTTGAAGTGAAGGTCCAAGTAAGATCGAAGATCCAACTCAGTCCAAGTCAGTTGTCTGAGGAGCAGTTTCAAGTTTCTGGTATCTGTGAGGCAATTCAAAGCCAATCCTCAAGCATTCGAAGTGCAAGTCCAACTCAAGTCTCTGATGGACAAGTCAGTCAAGTCTCAAGTCTTTGTAAGGCAAGTCCAAGTCGAGCTTTACATCTTTGAGCCCCAGGTCAAGGCACCAAGTCAAGGGGTAAATCCAAGCCAAGTCTTCAAGAGACAAGTCTAAGTTAAGTTTCTGAGGGGCAGGTTCAAATCAAGTGAAATGTCTTTGTTCATCACGTCCAAGTCAAGCTTCAAGTCGTTGAAATACAAGCTCCAGTCATGTCTCTGAGAAGGAAGTCAAACTGGAGTCTTTTTTTTTTTATCCCTATAGCTGTTTTAAATGCTGATGCTCAGTTTTGTTGTCACCTTTTATCACCTTCTTGCTTTTTACTACAGTTTGCTTGGCAAACTGTAAATAAGTCTTCTCAGCTCACGCAGTTTAAAAGGTAAATTACAAAAGTAATTGATTTAAAGTGATGGTAATGTGTTACTTTAGAAGACATTTTTACAACAAGTACAAGCAGTCAGAGGCCTGTTTTGCCCTGTGTGGGTTTATGCAAAGGTAAATAACACAGATTGTCCCACAGCTACACAGAATTTAAAAAGCACTATTGAACATCTTTTTACCACATTTACCTCAAAATGTTAATGGGTCTATTTTTTCTTGGTTCTTTTTCACCTGAACCAGATCTTAAAAGATCTTAAAGTAGAAGCAAAACTGTACAGCATCCTGGCTCACACAAACACCGGCGTGTTTGTCCAAGTCGTAGTGTATGGCTGTCTTTGTTGTGGCGATATGAGAGGTCAAGCCACAGTGGAGCCTTGCTTCATGTGGCAGCTTCGCCTTTAGGTTTGGTTGTCCACTGTGGATGTGGGTACTAACTCTGGTTAAAGGCCAGGAAATTGTGGTGTAACAACTTGTTTTTGTACTTTTTGCTTTGTTTGTGTGTTTTTACAATTTCCTTTCCTTTTAAAGTTTCATCTATCTGCAAAAACAAGACTGCTTCCCTGTTCATGTGCTAAAAGAATTTCCCTTAAAATACAGAAAATGGAAAATGTTGAATGGCTTTGAGTCTTCAGAAATGAGTTTTCAGAATTTTCCAATACAGAAAAATAAACTGTTTTGATGCTTTTGTAGATACAAAACCTCAAACAAAGGCAGATTTGGTTCTGTTTTTTTTTTCTTTTATGCAACTACCAATCAATCTAAAACATGATTTTTATCTTTGTTTGACATTCTCAACACTTCCGTTACCTTTTTTTTTTAAGAGCTGGTGTATTGTAATTGTGTTTGTTTGAAACCTGCAGCTTTTCTATCACAGAAATGTTCCAGAATTCCTCTTTTTAATTCTTTTCCATGTGTTGTTTTCTCAAAAAACAACAAGATCGCATCTTTTTCGAATTTCACTGTAAATAAACATGGTTTTAGGAATATTCAGGTTTATATTATCAACTTTTTCTGCAGTAAGGGACATATTTAAAAAAAAAATCTACCTCTAAAGTGGAGGGAATCATCTAGAACCAAAGAGCACCTGTTCAACGGAAGAGCGACATGCTGGAGAAATGAGGCTGTGAGGGCGGACTGCAGTTTCCTGTTGTGGGTTTTGTCACCAGTCTGTTAATCTGCAAACTTCATGCAATCTTAAAGTGTGGGTGTTAAAAGCAGAATGTTTCATCCAGACATATAAATCCGCTACTGGCTCCTCACTGCAGAGCTGACAGTCCTTAAAGACACGGTTCTGCTCAGAGCGCTGCCTGTCCCGTAGCCTAAAAGCCAAACTGGGATAGGAAGAGGTGAGGGTTTAAGTTATGCTTTTTTTCATTATTAATCTTTTAAAGTTGTTTTTCCCATTCTGTCAATTAAAGTAAATGAATGAGTAGGACAGATAGGGAAAGCTCTGTAAGGTTAAAAGGTCAAAGGTGGCAGAGAGTAGATTTAGATTTGGTATACTAATACAAAATATTACAAAAATAATATTCTTCTCCTCTTTTCATCCAGTTTTTGTACACAAATCTGTATCCAGAACATCAAGACCAAGTCCAGCTTGACTCATTCCAGGCCTCACCATGTCCGTCGACCCAGCGGTCGAGCTGCCTTTCTTCTACGGCAGCATCAGTCGCACGGACGCCGAGCAGCACCTGAAGCTGGCTGGCATGTCCGACGGCCTCTTCTTGCTGAGACAGTGTCTCCGCAGTCTTGGAGGCTACGTCCTGTCCGTAGTATGGAACCTGGAGTTCCACCACTACACCATAGAGAAACAACTAAATGGGACCTACTGCATCACTGGGGGGAAGCCTCACTGTGGCCCCGGGGAGCTCTGCGAGTACTACAGTAAGGACCCAGACGGGCTGGTGTGTCTCCTGCGGAAGCCCTGTCTACGCCCTCCGGAGACGGCAATAAAGAATGGCGTCTTTGACAAAATGAGGGAGAAAATGCTGAGGGAGTACGTCAAGCAGACCTGGAACCTGGAGGTGAGGCTGTGGACGCTGCTGTTAACTAAAGATTTATGATTCTCTAAGACATGCAAATATTCATGGATACTATAGCTCTTAAGTTAAAGATACCTAACACCATGTAGAGTAAAATAATTTCACTCTACTCCAATAAAGTTAGTCCTGCTAATACAGCACCATTCCCAATTATTGGCATCCCCTTGAAAATTGTATAAAAGGGGCAAAATAATCTAGAAACATCCAAATTTTCATTTGAGGGGCACATTTCCTGTACCATTTAGGCGCAATGGGAAAAACAAGACAACCACGAGTTAAAGCATATACAGGATCACTTTACAAGTCAACTAATAGATACAAGAAAACAGACAGATATCTAGATGCAGCACCAATGATTTTGAAGTTTAAAATAATTGGAGCCTTGAGAGAAATGGCTGGACTGGAACAGCAAACACACTGATGAAGTAACACAAAGCTATGGTTTTACACCGAGGAGGACAACTTTTAGGGTTCACCAAGCCTTCATTTTTAACACTTTTAAGCATCTTTATGTGGCTATCAATTACTGAGTGCTTAATAAAGGAAAAATATTAATATATTTTTGTTTTAAATGTAACTGCGGCGTTCATTTTTCACAGCTAACTCAAATCTGTTGCTTCATTTAATCCAAAAAGTGCATTTTTTTGCTGCAACATGAGTTTCTTAAAGTCTCAGCAATCATCCTCATAATCATTAATGCAATGACCTTAATTACTCAAACACACAAGAAATAAACATGATCCATGATTGTTATATAAGCGATTTTGGCTGCAGGCTTTAAAACTTTATGTTGAAAGTAAAACAGTGAAATACTATAGTTTATATATTCTACTTTAAAATAATTTGGTGATTCTGATTTGCGGCACTAACAGCAAGGTTTAAAAAACCAAACATATTTTCTAATTAAAATAATTTTACATGTACATATGGCATTTTAAATATCGATGAGAAACACTTTGCAGGAGCTTCAGCCTTGAACAGATTCAAGAAATTTACACAGATAAAAAATTAAAGTAGAATCATTGTGTTTACAGTTTATTTATCAGATAGCCGTTTAGAAACGAATGGATGTTTCACCAGAGTCCTCCAGAGAGAGACAAAACCAAGAGCAACAAAGATGCATTACAGCATTATTTCTCAAAGAATAGTAACACAAATGTTTAAAGTCGTTTGATAAAATTCTTAAAATCCCAGTGAGTGACAGTGGGGTATATACGGTACTCGAGCTCTTTGAGTTGCACATTTAAGCATTTGTAAATTGTTTTTTTAAGTAGATGCAGATCTTAAACTGATGTATCAATTTTAAACTGTTAATAGTTTTTAGTTTTTTACAGGTGCTTAAACCATAATTGAAAATGAAAGCCCCAAATTATTGTTATTTAAACATATCTCATGAACACATGTTGAATTAGAAGAATTTTTGTTGCACAGCATGTTTCTGCTCTTACTGTTCACATAAAACAAATAGAATAGGTTTCTCAGGTAAGTTGGGATGATTAAAATCATTCCTATTTTCCAAATGCAAGAAAAGTAAGATATAGATTGTTTATATACCGGTATATATATCAAATAATTATATCAGAAGTTTAAAGAAAAGGCTTTTTATTTGCCTTTAAAGATGTTTGATTGAATCCAATGTTTTGGGTCTCCTTGCCTGAATGTGGCTCCATTCCTTCAGACTGAACTGGTCTAACTGAGTCTGGTTTGTGGGTCGCTTTGATTAGTTAAAGCATGTTGAATAGAGCTGAGATCAGGACTTTGTGGCAACCGCTCCAAAAGATTTGTGTTCCTGAAGCCACAGGGTAACGTATTAGCACTATGGTTAGTGACATTTTTTATTTAGAATAGCTTAGGGCTGAAACAATTCATCAAATTAATTGTGATTACTTGATTTTTTTTTTTATATTTATTAATCAATTACTGGAGTATAGAGACTCTAGGTGACAGAGCAACCCACTCATAGCAGTAGTTTTAACAGAATTAATCACATTTTGTGTTAAAGATAAAAAGTTTTTGTTGGTTAATATGCTCTATCCAGAGAAATTCAAGTGAAATAGTTTTAGTTTCACCTAGTTTAAAATCAGGAAAAAAATTATTAATCGAAAAAATATCAACAGATTGATTGATTATCGAAATAATCATTATTTGCAGCCTTAGACTAACTTTTTTTCTCAGAGCTTAAACCTCCAGGCTAAGCTTAAGATGTTAATTCATTATTTCCACGTTGTATTCTTTCCCCATTCTGCCCTTCATGTCAAAGAGCGCACCAGTCCCTCCTGCAGCAAAATACTCCCACAACTGCCACCCTCGTGCTTCATAGCAGGGAAAGCATCCTCAGGCGAAAAAACTTTCCTTAAAGTCTAACAATGGTCAATATGGGGAAACGCTTTATGTCTAGCATCGAAAGTGCTTTCACATTTTAAACAAAGAACCAAACTCCTTCCTGAACAGTGGAATTAAGGATGCGTTTTTCCCCCCAGATATCTGGAAAAAGGTACAGGGCAAATATGTAATAAATCAAAATTTAGATAATTTTTTTTTGGTTTGTTTGGCTACAAGGTTTATCTGTTTATTTATTTTATGGCCTAGAATGCTCGCTTGTCCAGAGTCCATTGCAACATGAGTAAGTGTTTACTTCCAGCTAGTATGAAGGGATCTGCAGGCTAGATGAAACTTAGGTGACCTATTAGACGTTAAGAGAGCTTTGACTTTACTGCCAGGGCCATCACAAATTGAGAAAATTATCTTGTTTTATTTATTTGTGCTTCTTGTTTGATTGCCTGATTGATCTCTGAGTGAGCCATACCGAGGAAAGCTGCACTCAGCATAACGAGACACTTTAGGAAGTTTCTAGAGTAGAAAGGACAGGAAATCCAACTAAACTAAACTCTGACAGACTTTAAGTCATCCTCAAGATGTCTTCGGTTTTCTTTTTATTTGGATGAAACCCATTCCGTTAATTTAAAAAAAAAGAAATCTACCGGTATATAAAAAGCTCTTTAATTTAAATGTGAACTTTACGTTTCAGCTAGGCAGTATTAGTCTGTTTCCTCCAGATTACAGACACATTTTCCATCCTTTTTCTGAAATCTGAATCAAGCAAGTCTGGCTATAGAAAAAAAAAATACCTCAAGGCACTTTTTGAAATGTCCTTAAAGGGTATTTCATAATGGTCTTGAGAAAAATGTTGTGTAACCTCTTACCAGGCTTGGTTTATCTAGTTGTTTAAATGTAGATCACCCTATGAAAGTGAAATGATTGGAGGTTTATGATATGGTGATGTGGCTCTCTGCAAATGGTGGCATGGCATTATTAGCAATAATGGTCTGTGTGTGTGTGTGTGTGTGGGTTTGGTATGTAAAAATTTCTCAGTTGCCCTCCACCATATTGTCTTTTGCTTAATCTTATGTCCAGCAGCCCCCCTCCCAACCCCTGTTGTTCTGCACCACCCAAACATACAGTTCTCAACTACTGATTGGTTAATGGCTGCTACAGTGGCTGCCTGATCTGCAGCTTCCCAAACAAGTTATTTACAGCTTTAGAGTAAACCCTATTTAAGTATTCCCATTTTAAATTCCAAAACACTAACATGCATAGATGCATGGGGCAGCGTACATTTTAGGACAAGCCGAGGTCTCAGAAATAAACTCATCTTTAGGTCAGCAAAAAAACAAAGCTCGTTTGTTTTTAGCTCAACCTCGACAAGTAAAGCAAATATCTGAGTTTAACAAAATGTTTTATCTTGATGTTTTTGATAACGTGTTTTTGACAGCCATCTGTTGTTATGTGAACACCCTCTGAGTCTGTGTGTAAGGACAACAGGTGAAATTGTGATTCAAGGTCAAATCATGGCAACATTTTTAACTCTGAACATGCAATAAATTCACAACAACTTCCATTTAAAATATAGTCATTTAATACCAAAAGTAATTGAATTCCAGTTCAAACATATTTTAAAAAATTAATTAAAAATTCTCAACTAAGCTTATAAAACTTACTCAAACTACAGCTACTCTTTGCAGAGAAAAGCTCAGTTAAAAAGTCTCATGAATAAAGCGAGGCAATGATATCACAGTTCAGCATCAGTTTTTAAGTTTAATTACCAAAGTTTATTTTGAAAGATTTAGAATCATATTAGCTTTTTAACCAATTTAGAGCAACTGGCATGTGTTCAAACTGGTCTACAGTGCAAATCCAAGGGGTAAATAAAACTTTATTTGGGTTAAAAAAGATTTAATGATTTATCTGATCAAAAAACAATAACCATTTAGATAATTGAATCTCAAACTTATGATGGTTCCCACTGGAATAACATCAAGTAGAAGCCGTTATGGCAAAGAGGGCTTAGCTTTGTTAGCCAGGTTGGGTTTATTAAGACAATGGAGCCAATAGCTCTTATAAACAAGGGGATCCATTTTAAATGACTCTTTGATCATATTCCAGCAATCAAATGTAAAAATTCTGAAAATGTATAATCATTAAAGTTTTACTATTGTTTGTCATAACCATTGTTGGGAATAATGGCGATATTTAATAATTACGTTGGTAACGGAGTTATTTTTTCACTAAAAGGGTAATCAAACTAATTTACTTATTTAAATATTAATGACCCAGATATTTTGCTTACAATCCAATATAACACGTTACTTTAATTTAACCAATCAAAGCGACTTTCCATCAGTGCACTCTTACAAATAGAAAGATCTTTTATTGCAGAGATTGGCTGAGGGCTACGAAAGTGGGCGGGTGTTCAACATGCAAAGGTGGCTCACACAGTTAGTTTTAGTTAGTTAGTTAGTTAGTTAGTTAGTTTTTAAAAAAATGACTCTTTCTTTCTTTAGTGTTATTGTAAATTCACTTGTATGGTATATCTTGCTGTTATTCTTTTCTTTTTACATGGATATATTGAGTGGGAGGGGGTTTATGAAACAGTGGCTCCTTCAAGAAGCGCAATCTGAATACACTGTTGGTTTAGTCCTTTTGAAAGTAAGGCATTGATACAATTCCAGATTATGGAGAGAGATTATGTGTGGATTAAACATATATGAGCCATCAGAAATAATAAAACATATTAATTCAGAAAAAGGCAAATGTGCAGGTGAGCACAAATAAATGCAGCAGGCTGGCAGAGAATCTATATTAAACCAGAATGAAAAACAAAAAATGACAGAACTTAAAGCTATAGTGGAGGATGTTCCTTATCTGGGTGGATCATCAAAATAAGTGGTCCTCCTAACTGTCAATCATTCTGATGATATGTTTACATAAGGCTGTCCTTCGTGCTCATCTCCATTTTCACTTACCAGTGGCAAGTCTGACATAGTGGAAAAATTGCAAATCTTCTTTTGGAAAGCATTTTGTATGAGCGATGCAAACAGCAAAAAGTCCATTTCTCCTCGTGTGGGTGAGTGTTTTCAAGCATTGTGAAGGTCCTCCACAATACCTTTTAAATATAACGGAGTAGGGTGAATGCCTCTATGCTCACAACAGTGATTATTTATAGGATTATTCTGGGCCTACCTTGTATTGGCTCAAATAGGAGCTGGAGGAGATAAATTCAGCCGTCTGGAGCCTAATCTGCTGTAAATCTGTTGGGGAGGGTTGGGGGAGTCAAGCAACAGAAAAAGACAACTTTCTAAAGTTTTATGGTATTTTCTATTTTTACATTGTATTCAAACTTTAGTGATCTTCATCATTTAATGTTTTACTTTTCTTCTTTTACTTCTCTTTGACATAGGCTGCCTATGTAAAGTGCATTAAAACTATTAGTATTATCATTGTTATTTGAAAAAACAAACAAACAAAAAAACAGCCTTATTGCCCCTATTTGAGTAGCTTTGACCTAATATTTCTTTCACGGTCACTCTCAAACTCCCTGTAGTACCACCCAATCCTCTCATTTCAATGGGGCGGAACCAAACTGGTTTCCAAGTCTTAAAATACAGGTAGCAATCTTTGTAGGTCACCAGCAATACACCCATTTACTGGATTGCATGTGTTATTTAGCAGCCCTTATCTGTAATCTTTGAAGATCAGGCCCCATTAAGTCAAACTAAACCATTTTCTCTCTTCTCACAACATTTCACACCTTATATGGGTAAGGAGAATCAGACGCCTGAGGTTTAACTTCAAACAGCCCAGAATGCGTTAGGATGCCATAACAATTTGTGTGAGAGCAAGTACTATTTTTGCATCTTTTCAGGGAGAAGCCATGGAGCAGGCCATCATCAGCCAGGCTCCTCAGCTTGAGAAGCTTATCGCCACCACCGCCCATGAGAGGATGCCCTGGTACCACGGTAAAATCAACCGACACGAGGGGGAGAGGAGGCTTTACTCTGGAGCACAACCTGACGGCAAGTTTCTGTAAGCTCCTCAGAGCCAAAGCTCTGCCTCTGTGTCTGCAGTGATTCTTTTAGCTCCCCATCAAGATCTGAGGTCTTCATTGACCATCATTTAATGGTTCTGTCGTCCATTTGTCAGAGTCAGAGACAAAGATGAGCCTGGTTGCTTTGCGCTGTCTGTGATGTACGGGAAAACCGTTTATCACTATCAGGTCCAGCTGGACAAATCAGGAAAGCTGTCTATGCCAGAGGGAACCAAGTTTGACACAATCTGGCAGGTAGAAGCCTCTGCTAGTTGTTACATTTACCATCTATTTCTACAGCAGATCAGCACCTTGTAATGTAATTGTCTTTGCATTTTTCAGCTAGTTGAATATTTGAAGATGAAGCCTGATGGGCTGGTAACTGTCCTCGGGGAGGCCTGCCTGAATGGAAAAAATGCTGAAGGTAATAAAAATAGTTCTACTCTATACACAAAACCTCACTAAGGTTTTCATAATGTGGCTGTCTAGAGAGATACGATTAAAAACCAGAGTCAGAGGTGCATCTATATTGTTTATTCTTACATATAAAGAAATGGCATTCCTGATTTCACTGCTCTGATGTGACAGAAACTTTGTTAATGGTCCAAATAACCACACATCGTAATGAAAAGCAATTAGCACTCCAAAAAAACACATCTTAACAAACACAGAAAAGCCCCTGATTCAATCAGTCGCTAACCAAGCCAGACTCAGGATATTGTTTTTGGGTGAGATTAAAGGAAGCGCCCTAAAAGACAGACACATAGGCATTGACTGAAAACTAAACTCGTTATATCCCATTTACAAACAACTTATTATTATTATCATTACATCGGATACAAAACAAATCAAAACCAGATTCCAAACAGTTTATTAACTTTCAAGAATGATTAAAATAGCTGTATCTCCTAATCACATCACCTGGCCTCCCACGGAAACATACACTTTTGCA